CCAAATAAATCTTTATACATGTGTAATAACAAATTGAGTTTATAGCTACTTCATCTTTTTGAAAATTGGCTTTGACATGAACTCTGAACTTTTTGGGCGTTTTTCTAATCCAAGGAGTATTATGCCAAGCAGGTCAGAAAATAAACACTCCCTTAAAAAAAAAGCACTTTGAAATTGTCAAAGTCATCATGCAGGAGTAGGTGACCATAAACACTCATTCTTATTTAACAAAATACATTATTAATTTCGGAAGTTTCAAAATGATGTAGGCCTAATCTAGAAGTAGTATTTGCGAGAATTTTGTGACTAATTATTTTACGTAATTGTTACGTCCATTATCTGTTGATTAGATTCTCATGTGATGGGTATCGACATTCTCTCATCTTATCCTATCAGACGATATGTTACAATTAGAGCATGGTTACAACATAAACCTTCTCTAAAAAGACGATAGGGCAGATCAGAATGTTTTTCTTGAATGCCCTGAAAGTAACATCTAGTGTTGGTATTTCAAAATGGGAATCAACGCTTGAGGCGAGTAACCTTCTAACAAAATTAGGATTTTGTTGTGAGGAAAGCAATTTTATATGAAATTGAGAACCAACACTAAGTTGCAAAAGACCAGCATTCAGTAATCGTGTGATATTTTATTATTTTGTAAGTAATGTCCATAATGAATCAAAGCCACAGAATGAGATAAAAGTTTCGTGATCGTTTGTTAATTTACGAATTTGTCCTGGCAGTTTTCTGGATACAATCTATAGTTTGGAGAGAGGGCCTCTTCCAGGGTAATGAATAAGTGTTTGTTGTAAAAATATTTCAAAAGTCAAATGATGAATTGGAGATGTTTTTGTACTATGTAGTTTGTCTTTTTTCGTCTTTGGTTTTCAAATTAAAGTGCCAAATTTAGTGGTGTCGAGTGCAGTCAATAAATTCTCAGTGATGTCCCTTAATTAACAAGTTACATGTTCTTGTTTCTTACCGTGTCTCACAGTTTGTAATAAAGTCCCACCGCCAAACTGTTTTAATCCCTTGGGAATTAATAAAACTACCCGACATTGCCAAACTAACCTGCCTTAAATTCCCGTGTAGCGGTGGGGTTCGAGTGAGGCAAAATTGCTGATAAGGAGGGACAGGCTGGGAGATTGAATGTTTGTTTTGAAACTGATTTGTAAAATTCTGAGCATTTTTTCCGTTTCTTTTTGGACGAGAGAACCATCCAGCACCCTCTATTGTAGGGGCTTTGCAGTTGTCTTGGAACTTTGTGTCAGGTTTAGTTGGGCTTCCTCACTGTGTGGAACAATCAGATGTCTGATTTGAATAATAGCAATATATGTTGACGCCTGTGAACCGATCCTCAAGAGTTTATTTCTTAAAAGTGTTTGTTTTTAGCTTTTTATTTCATGACCGAGAGATTGCTTTTGGAGCTTGCTTTATTTTTTCACTATTGACGAAATGACAGCGTGAATTAGTTGATGGAAGCCTTTCAATAGTCAAAGTTTTCTCTGGTAAGATTTATGTTCCGGAATTGATTCAGAGACTGCCCCCCTACACCGATAATTGCAGACACACGTTGTCGATGCATGGAACTGGACCCGGTTTATTGTGATTACCTGACAACAAACAACTTTGCATCCATAGTCTGCTATCATTGTTCAATATCGATCTCGTCGGGATCCATCACTTTGAGTAAAAGATCAAGTTCCTGGAAAAGAAAAAAATAGAAAAAAATAAAAAATAAAAATGAGGCGCTGTTGCAGCTCTTTCAAAGAGGAGAAAGGGTTGAGGCACATACATGAAGTCGACTCGTACTAGGCACAGACGAAAAACTTCGGGGAGGGCCGTGGGTCTTAATTTACTTTCTCATTCTCTAGGTAAAAAAAAATACTGATTAGTTTTGATCATCAGGCCAATAGAGGGGGCTATTGAATTTTTAAAAAACCTTTTACATTTTTCTAGAGGGCGCCATACTCAAATTGCACGCCGTTCAATGGAACCACGGGGGCGCTGTTGCCAATAAGTTAA